GTCTTCACTTTGAAGTATTCATAGATATCTACCTATCTTGTTCAAAGAATGTATAAAGATTAGGCATACAAACAGATGTAACAGGAAAAGCTGTAAATTTGGGGAAGAAACTTTGAGACCAGCCTTACGAAATAATTTTGTCTCTTGCACATGTTCATATATTTATCTTTAATTGATGCCTATTACATAACTAACCTTTAAGGTTAATATTAAACCAAAAATAATTGTTTAAAAAAAGAGAATAATCCAAGCCTGATCCTAATCAAATTACTGTAAAATCTTTTTCAGTTCAGCCCAGAAGATATGACCTGTTTGTCACATAGTGACAAAATACGCATAGTCTGTTAAATAGTAATCACACCATATCTATATTTGTATCGATATTTTAACCATCTGTGCCTAGTGTCAATATGGTTAGAAATAAAGAATTGGTAATGGCCTCTTTAATGACACGAGTATCAGGCCAGTGGTGGTGGTCATGTTTGGCACTGCTGGATCCATTGTCCCATCCCCTAAGAACAAATGCAGTAGGAAACCCAAAGCCACAGCATCCTGCTACTGTATAGTGCTACAAGATGCTCTTAGAAGTTGAAACCTTCATCCTTCCTCACTACTAACTACACTGGAGGGAAAAAAATTGACTTGGCTTTACTTTGATACCCAGTTTCAGGTTGGCCTTTAGTCCTGTTTTCCCCAAATGAACTAAAAGAAATGACACATTAAAAACCCTAAAAAGAACAGGAGTACTTGTGGCATCTTAGAGTCTAACAAATTTATTAGAGCATGAGCTTTCGTGGACTACAGCCCACTTCTTCGGATGCATATAGGGTGGAATAAATATAGAGGAGATATATAGACACGCATACAGAGAGCATGAACATTAAAAACCCTAAATGCTGTCTCTTTTTTCTTTAGGCTGCACTGAACATTTTAAAGTTGCTGTCTGAGTTGGACCAACAAAGTACAGAGATGCCACGACAAGGAAATGGACCAATGTCTGTGTGAGTGAAAGAAATTAATTCTGGCCAATATTTTTCCCTTGCAGTAAAGTAAAAGCAGCAGTGACCTTTTAAGGACAGTCTTACCTCAGGCAAATAAAATGTTGTAAGGCTGGCTGGTTGGTTTGTTTGTCTTTGGGTTTTTTGGCCAGGATAGTTAAAATATCAAACTGTATCATCTCGGTAAAGGCGAGAGAGCAAGTTTTATGACTAAGCTTGGACATTTTTATGACAGGCCAAAGAAAAGTTATTGGGCTCAATACAGGGGTAATTGAGTGAAATGTCATGGCTCGTGATATATACAGGTAGTCTAACTAGATCATCTGATTGTCTCTCTTGGTCTTATGCTCCATGAATCTATTACTCTTTCCCACTTGCTTTAACAAATGTTTAGTAGTTCCTTTTTTCAGAAAGTCTTCTAAATATGGAACCATAAACAGAATATCCAGGTTAGGCAGCTTACTGTCATCTGAATTGTCACCCTTCTGGAACTGTAAATGAATTGCCTTTGCTGATCAAAGTAACGTTCTTTTGCAAGAAGTTTGAGCTAATTAAATTGTGGCACTGGCAGCACACTTTCTGTCAAGTTTTAGAAAAAACATTATGGTTCACGTGAATTATTTTTTTCATGTGAATATAAAATCCTCTGTGTCAAGACAGTTAAAGTTAGTGAAAATAGCATTACAGGAGGATCCTCTGAGTAACATGGTGTTTCTCATTTCTAGATGTGTGAAACAAGAAATGGAAAGTGACCCTCTCCTCAAACCGGCTAACTCAAACACTTTGGGACAAACACTGGACAGCACTGCCTGAAAAGGCTTTTGACTGGACCCAAACCTGAAAGCACCAGAGAAAATCAAATGCTTCCTATTAATGTAACCTAACTGTTTTAGAGTGCTACAGTCTTTCCAACCTACTGTAGTATCTAAATCATAACCGTTGCTTTTTCTTCAAAGTGATAAATTTTTAGTTTCATGATACTGTTTTGATTGAAATGACACTATAAATTTTTCATTTAAAAGTTTCTTAATTGTATCTAGAACAATAGCACAGTTTAGAAACTTTGTCTTCTGAGACTGATGTTATCTGTGAACTAACTTGGGAAGATCATATCCATGTATGTGGTTATTTTGTTTTTATTGAAATAGCAAAGTTTCATTGGAAACAAATTGTGTGCCCTCCATTTAATAATAATAAAAAAAAAAGTCAAGGACTTTGGCAAACTTAACTTAATTCTCAAAACGGTTGTATGAATTAAACATTTTAGGAATTTTAAACTTTGTTTGATTTTTGGTTAATTTCTAGTTTTCTTGAGGGGGATGGCGGACTTGAATGCAACAGGAGTTTAAATAATCTCTGATCTATGTTTTAAAGATTGTGTGTGTGTGTGTATATATATATATATATATACTTATATATATATAGTGGCACACAACTCACTACATTACAGGATATGATCTCAATGTAGTGCATATAAAACTGCAGATTGATTTTCCTTGAGTGCTTTATACTGTTTAATTACATCTCCATGTAGGGCTGAAAAAAATTACCTATGTTTATATATAAACTGTGTTGCTTTTGATGTTGTGTTATTGCGCACAATTCTGTGTGCAATAAGTTTTTTGCATATGGTCCAGGTAAAGCACGATAGCCTTGCAAGTTAAGTACTGCTTCAGTTCATTGTTTACGCTGGAATTTTTTCTCCCCATGGAATGTAAGTAAAACGTAGTGTTTGTCTCAAATAAATGGTAATACTAAAAAATTTTTGGTTAATTTATTCTTGTATGCCATTACTGGGGCTCCTTTTTGATAGGATTTGTAATGCTTGTGATATAGTACGGGCTGTAATGTAAAACTATGAAGTAACTGTACAATGGTTAATCAATAACCTATAAATAACTACTTTTTAGTAATGTGGAGGTTGTGACAAACTGGCTAGGTCAAGGAAATTCAAAAGTAATATGGGTACACTCTGTCTTTGGTGCCACAATGTCTAGCTTAAATACATTAATGGGAGTCTTACAAAATTATAACATGATTTTGAAAAGCAACATGGCATAGCAGATTGAAATGATATCAATACTTAGATCTCTACTTTTAAGTTTTCTTGCTTGCTTGTAATTTGTGTCATAATCTTAGCTTTGCACAGAGTAATTTTTTGGGGGTACTACTTAAACACCCAAAACCTTCCCTCTAGCAGCAAGAATTGGCACCATAGACTGACACACAACAGTGTAACATTTGGATGTGAACTACCTTAAATGTATATTTAACTGGTAACCTGTAGCAGCTCTTCCTAAATATCTACATGCAGTATGTGAAGTAAATGTTCTTCTGAAAAGCAGTTACTGCACATGCTGTTTATTCAAAGTTAAATGTCTCGGCCATATTAAACCTTATTTTGTTCACATTATTAAGCAATTGGGCCATACTAACTGCTTACCAAATTTTTATTAAATCAAAGTTGTTTTTGATCATTATAAGTGCAAAAAGCATTGTAAAGTTTTTTTACATTTGTAGAACTAAAATGCTGTAAATTTAAAAATTAAAAAAAAAGACTTGCTAGGCTGAGACTCTGTATTGCAAATTCTTACAACCAACTTAGAAATTCCCTGGAAAATCGTTTATAATGGAAAACCTGAATGATGGTGCAGGTGGTCACCATAAGTCTCTATTCTGCAGTTGGTTAACTCTCTTCTCACTAAGCTGAACCGGACAGCCAACGGTTCTGGCTGTCTTGGCTTGTGTAGCTGTTGAGGTATTACAGTGCTCCACGTGAACTTTTAACAAAACTGCATAAAAATATCAGATGTCTATACTATCAAATACCTAATCCATTCCTAGAGGCACTAGCACCATAGTTGTATGTAGTACATTAGACACAGGATAAGGTCCCTGGCCCAAGTAGCCTGGAGTCAAAGCCAGATAACTGGACATCAAATTATTGGGGAGGTGGATGATAGGTGGGGCCAAGAATGTGCAAAAGGAGAGCTGTTGGGTTTTTTTTTTCCCACCTGGAGCTGTACTCACTTGAGCTGCTTTGTTACGTTATTGCTTGGGTTTTATGTTCTATTTAGTCTACTCTTGATGCAGAGTAGGATAGGACAAGTGTATAATAAATACCCAGTTTTTATATAGCATTTTCCATTAGTAGATTTCAGTGCTTTACAAAGGAGGCCATATCATTATCCCCATTTTACAGATGGAGAAACTGAGGTGCTTGGCGGTGAAGTGACTTGCCCAACATCACCCAGCAGGCTAGTAGCAGACCTGAAAATAGAACCCAAGTTTTCTGAATCCCTGTTCAGTATCCTCTAGGCAACACTGCCTCTGACTTTTCTCTATGCTAAACTCCTATTGCTTTGATCCTCTTAGATCCATAAAAACGTGTGCACATGACTAAAATGTACAGTGTTCACCACTGGCCAAACTCCTCCCATTGAAGTAAAAATCCCATTGCAAGTCTATAATCCTGGTAAGTCTTATTTTTGCTAATGAGCCTCATATAAGCAGACTGCAAGATTTATAGTGCTAAAAACATGCCTTTGCATCAGACTCTTGGCTTAATTGGTTTTAGTAATTTTTTCATGCAATGAGAGATTTTGACACAGTGGAACCAGTCCAGGAGCCTTTTCTGCTCTCATTAATCAAACAGTCTAGCAAATGGATAATCTTCCTGGGTTTATCCTTTTGTCTTAAGTTTAGGGTTACTGATTATAACAATATCAGTGTCCCAGAACCTAACGAACGTTCAACAAGGGGATAAGCTTTGCAGACCAAAAAATAATGCAATTTAGTCATACAGTAGAACCTCAGAGTTACAAACATCTCGGGAATGGAGGTTGTTCATAACTCTGAAATGTGCGTAACTCTGAACAAAACCTTATGATGGTTCTTTCAAAAGTTTACAGCTGAACATTGACTTAATACAGCTTTGAAACTTTACTATGCAGAAGAAAAATGCTGCTTTCCCTTGTACTGTATTTGCTTTTTTTAGTCTCTGCAGCTGCCTGATTGTGTACTTCAGTTCCAAATGAGGTGTGTGCTGACTGGTCAGATCTTAACGTTGGCGTTCATAACTGAGGTTCTATTGTACTGGGTGTGCCTTTCAAATCGTGACGGAGTGTAAGGAAAATCTAACATTTAAAATATCTAGTCCTGTTCTATCCATCAGTCTCGTAACAATTACACTAACAGCAGTTGAGACAGTGATCTTTCTTTTCAGTCTTTGCTTTCTCTCACATAGTAGTAATGACATTTATATAGCACTTTACATGTTCTTAGCACTGTACAGACACTAATCCTCACAACATCCCTGTGAGGTAGGTGAGAAAGTTCAATTTACACCAACTTTCAGCATCAAAATCAAAACACACACTTAAGGCAAGCTTCACATTGAGTCTGCTAACATTTATGAATGGCATCTGTGTTTCACACTCAAATCCACAGCACTGGTTTGCTTCCTGTGCAGTGGAACTGAGATGACCTATCTGCTCAGCTATGTCTCTTCCTCTTGTCACCAAGTGGTCTGCCTTGAGCTGAGGCAAGCACTCCCTCTTCAGCCATTGCCTTTAGGCACAAATCCTACAAACTACTGGGATGGGAGCAGCTTTAGATTAGGGTCCCTTCCTCCAAACATCAGAGCAGACCAGTGATGTCTGGAACCGTCAGCTCTCCCTGCCTCACAGCAGCAGGGTGTGGCGCATATAAACAAATGTTCCACCTGTGAAGTCTGTCCAGGAAGCAACTAAAACAGAATTGTCTAGTCTGTTCCCAGGGAAAGGGACTGTCTCGGAGATGGGAGGATCTTCCCCTGACACAGCATCTATCCACATCACAAAACAAGCATGTGCAAAGCATGTATTTACCAGACACCTAGCTTTAACTAACAAGGACCCTGGGTCCCAATTAGACTAAGATATTCCTATAAAGTCCTAAAATGGGCATTCAAGCAGCCATCCTGTAAGATTATCCTAGCTTTCTAATGGAATATCCGCACAACCAAGGGGATACAGCTGATGAAAAACAAGGTGGGGGGAAATCTTTTTTTTTACTTTTCCTGTTTCTCATAACTTAAAATTCAAAAAAAGTCATCCAGCTCCACAAGGGGATTCTTTCCCAGGCCCCTTAATCATATTCCCAGCTGAGAACATACAGCATAAAACTTCCCATCCAAAAGGAGCTAAGGGAAGCATGTCTGAAAATACATGACCCCTCCCCCTCTTTATAGTGTGGTGGCCAAGAAGTCTAGAAAACAATTTAAAAAAAAAAAAATTCCTGGAAAGACTTCTAGTCTCCTTATTTCCTTGCCATCTCCTGGGACTTCGGGACAAAATACTACTCCAGCTTGTGGAGCAAAGTCGAAGACCTGGTCTCTTCCTGCTCTAATGCATAAAGACTAAAGGATGGGATTTTCAGAAGTGCCTATGTGCAGTGAAGGAACCAAGCATCAAGTGCTGATGCATGTATTTATATCCTTCATCTAGCCCTCCCCCTTGTGTGTAGTAGCTATTACATAAATGCTTGGTGTTGTCAGAATTCTCCTGAAAGCCTGTAGACATAGACCAAAAGATAAAGTATGGATCAAAATAAGATGCTACCTTAAGTGTTTCTACATTGAAGTGAGTTTATTTACCAGGTTTTCCCAGATGAGTTTAGATTAAGAAAGTGTTCCAGAAGCTGTTAATAAATCCGTGCAAGTACCAATCTTCATCTTCCTGTTGCTACGAGATGGCGTTTCGCTTCCCTTTGTCTAATGAATGGATGCATGCACTTATCAATACCCAAAAACTTGTGAACAAGAACTTGAACATCCCATGGAAGGAGGCTGGAAATAAAGTTTCAGTAATTAGGAAAAGATGTTAATTTTCTCAGATCATTATTCAATTAATTCTTTTAGGGCCTTGATTCAATCTGTGGACTAGATCTAAATAATGTATTGAAAAGTGAACAAAACTTACCTCAGAGGATATCTATGCTACCTTCTCCATCCAAAGAAAGAAAAAAATCTTGTATGTTACTAATACTATTCTAAAATTTTATAAGATTATGGTGGAAAAGCTATACCATATTAAACTATCCATCTTCTCCCTGTCAGATCTCAGAACATATTCCCCAAATTGCTAATAGATATGTTGAACATTAAATGTAATGTAGCTGACAATCTGAAGAAGCCTTTGACAGAGTATCTTACCTCCATGGTCTTTGCTATTTCAAACATAAGATGTAGGTGTAGTGTCTTGCATATTTAAAACCAATCTTTTTTTGCAGTGGAAAGAACATGGTTTCCGAAGTAGCAGACCCCGGCCCTATGTAAGGCCAAGAACCTTCTGATACACTTTTCTATTAAATCTGAATGTTCTAGCCATTTTGGGACAGTCCGATAACACTACAGCCAATTATTTCACTTTTAAGTGCATCTTGAAACAGTACCAACAAAATGAATTAACGCAGCTGCAATTCCCTGAGTGGAAATACTTACTGTTTTAAAACTACTGCAAAGTACATTACTCTGGGGATACATATTATGGGCTGATTATTCAGTATTCCTTTCATTGCTATCTTCACACAGTCATCTGGTTTTAATGGAGAGAGAAGAGCAGCCAGCTCTCGCCTAGAAAAACAATTGGTAAATGTTTCATTAAGAGAGAAATCAGTAATTTGGGGAAAATTAGATTCTGTATAACCCTTCTGAAACCCCCACTGCATAAAAGAAAAGTGTCAACCCTTTCCTTTTAAACCATATTAGGTAGAGCCAGGGGAGTTCATAAACCAAGGTGTCTAACCTGTTCTAATTACAGTAAAAGCTGTGTTATCCTGCACTTTATCAACCAGAAAGCTCTTTTAACCGGCATTTCTGATATCTCCCAATACAAATCTTCAGTCTAGTAACCGGGACTAGTATACTGCCCAGGAGGTTATGCAATTGCACATTCTGCACTCTATTTTTATGCAAAAGAGGCAGAAGACACATAAGCAAGCTGATATCAGGGGTTTATTCAAAAAAGCCACTTTCAGGGTGTATCAGAATCCTTACAGATTCAGCCCAATCTCCTACACTGCCTACATCTACAATGATGATTGATGTTGATAATGATGACTGATGCACTGCAAGATCTTGAAGTGCCTTCTGAATCACCAAAGATTAAATTATGTTCAGTATAGTTTTAGTGTTAAGTGTATTTTTAGTGATCTGGGTGAACGCCATGCACTGCCCATAGTGATATGTACTGTCCTAAGATAACCTACTGTATAGAAAACTTTACCTGTATACACCTAAGTGCTTCAAGAAACCAACCACTCTGCAGTGCAGTACTACTACTGGATTGGTGAGTACCTGTATACTATTTTATACTTTATTCATTTGATTGTATTCTAATTCTTTGAAAATTGGTATTCCATGGGTCAGTATAACTCTTAGCTAACTAGAATTTTTGACTAACAGGCACCCCCCACCCATTCCCCCAACATGCCCGATAAAGCTTTGATTGTATTAGCTCAGATATCACCCTTGTTGGTGATGTACAACGTCAAGTGCTCCTGGCTTAAATGAATTTAAACAATTCTGGCTCCTGGTGAGGATTACTAGCAATAATTGCGGAGTTCTTTATATTATGCTAACATCAAAGGTAACTGTCATTTTTAAGTATCAGAGGGGTAGCCGTGTTAGTCTGGATCTGTAAAAAGCAACAGAGAGTCCTGTGGCACCTTTAAGACTAACAGAGGTGTTGGAGCATAAGCTTTCGTGGCATTCACCCATGAAAGCTTATGCTCCAATATATCTGTTAGTCTTAAAGGTGCCACAGGACTCTGTCATTTTTAGTGAGCCTTTCAATGTGTGTAGTAATGCTAGTTCCATTCCAAGTGTTGTAGGTGCTGACTCTCAACTAGAACAGTGTCATGTGATCTCTTTTTATAAAGCATTGCTTCTGCCGACCAACTCTGCACTGTTCTGGGAGTCTGGCTTCATTCCGGCAAGAAAGAGAGTTGCCTGATTTACCTAAGGTGATGCACCCTGACAAACTGGGCCAAAGGTAGGAGTTGATTGCAACTCTCTCAATTGCAATGCCATTGTATTTTTTTTTTTTTAATGGAATTGTGCTGCATGCTGAATCTGGTCCTTTTGTAAGCTGTTTATCCAAAGTCAGTTTAGTTTTAATTTAATGACCAACATTAAGCACAGTGCACATTTGTGAGTAGTGCTCCATAGTCATGACTATAGGTTTACTATCTGAGGTCTGGTCTACACCTGAAACTTAGATTGACCTAGCTATGTCACTCGGGGGGGTGAGAAATTCACCCCCCGAGATAAAGACTATGAATCTAAGGTCAGAAGGGACCATTGTGATCATCTAGTCTGACCTCCTGCACATGGCAGGCCACAGAACCTCACCACTTCTGAAATAGACCCCTAACTTCTGGCTGAGTTACTGAAGTCCTCAAATCATGGTTTAAAGACTTCAAGTTACAGAAAAATCACCATTTACACTACTTTAAACCTGCAAGTGACCCATGATATGTAATTAAGCTGCCCTAAGCCCTGGGATAGACACCACTAGGTTGACAGAAGAATTCTTCCATCACCCTAGCTACTGCTTCTTGAGATAGTGGATACTACAGTGACTGAAAAACCCCTTCCATCACGGTAACAAGTGTCTTACACGACAGTGGATTAGCTGCACCTGTACCACTATAGCGCTTGTAGTGCAGACAAGCCATACGTGAGGGTCTCGTACCCGAGCTGTAGTTTTTGTTTTGAACATCTCCACATTAGTTGAGTTCTGGTCTACTGGGAGCTCGTTCTCTTTGGACAGATGAATTGGGAGCTCAGCATTAAAATTCAGTTATACGTGAGTGTGGCTGGAGAGGGGAGGCCTACCTCCAGCCCCAAACCCTGCAAAACACACCTAAAAGGTATGTCACCTTTTGGCTTATGACATTACTTCAGAGGGGAGGGGGAGAAAATACTATATACCCTGTAGTGTTTCATCACCTGGAATTTTTTATTCTCATATCCTGCGATATTCAGGCCCAATCCCCCTGGTCAGAGAATCATGCACTCTTTGCAAATTCTATACAGGCTACTTCATTAATAGAAATCTTTGCACAAAATTAGTACCTGGCACCCAGGGGCCTCCAAGTGCTTTGCAATTAATGCTCCTGTGATTGTGAAAATAGGTAAACTTGAAGCTAAGTGACTTGTCCAAGATCTCAAAGTGGTAGAGTCAGTAATACAAGAAGGGCATCCTGTCTGCTGGTCCTGTGCTATAATGTGGATCTGATCTTATAAATGGAGAAATCTATTTCAGTATAGGGTTCCTCCCTCTCTGACAGGAAGGTACTCTTTATTTTCATGTGAGTGTATCATTATCCAGTAGGTTCACTCTAGTTTGAAGTGTTTTGTTAATGAGGGAACATGTGAGTATTGACAGCTCCTGCAATTTAGAATTGCCAAAGTTTGCTACAATTTTCCCCTGGTTTCTTGGTCATGTCCAATCATTCTAGATGATCCATTTCTAGCCTGATTCTTCTTACATAAGCTCTCATTTGCATCCACCCCTCAGAGAAAGGATGGTTCCTATTTTCATTTTTGTAGGCAAGGATTTTACAAGTTCTCTTTACTTTTATCAAGAGATGCCAGCTTTACCTTCTGATTTTGCTGTCTGCCCTTTCTTAAAAAAATGTCGGTGTTATACACTAGTGATCCAAACTGCTATAATTCAGTAATATTAAGGGACAAGTACGCTAGGCTAATTAAAGGAGAGTTTAATCGCTCCATTATCTGAGCGGCTGAACCAGGGCAGAGTTGCTGCAAGGCTAACCGTTGGGGGTGTCTGCTGATTCTAGTTGTCTATAAAGTCAGCTGGTGGTGTTCTTTCAGGTTCCCTAACAACTGAGGAACTGACCCCAGTTGCAGCTGGACAGGTGTGATATGTCTGCGAATGAGTCGAATGTAAATGGTTTTACCTGATTCTACATCCAGTGAACATGCCTGTGTCGACAAGATAGGGGCACACCAGGGTAGTCTTCACTCCATTGATTCGCTTGGCTTTCAGCTGATGGCTAAGCGCTTCATGGAATCCAACTACTGCAAACTTGCTCGCACAGTAATCCTGCAGACAATGAGAGGCTTTGGCTAGTGGTAGGTGGGGGTAGGCTTGTTCCTCCTGGAAACACTCCCAGGTATTAGATGGCAATTGCTAGCTTAGCTACGGGAGCGCCGGAGGCTGGCTTCTCTGCACAGAGCAGGTTTGCTCATTGAACCAAAGCATTCCAGTGAACCTATGCTGAAAACAGAGACTCTTGTGACCCGCTTAGTTTTCCACATGCCACCTTTCAATATTGTTATGGATTGAATTAAAATCTTATTGAAACTGTGATGGATGTGATGCACCCTTAACATAGCTTTAAGAAACAGCTAAGAGGCCCCACCTAAAACAAGGCATAATGGAGTCTGCCCCAAAACTACCACCATGTGGGAAATTAGTGGGTGCTTAGCACGCACCTGTAGCCGGCTCCCCCACAATTCACCCAGTGACTCCTATCCGCTGGCGGCCCTGCCGATCAACTGCTCCCCCTCCTTCCCTCCCAGCACCTCCCGCCCCACCGCAATCAGCTCTTCTGCGGCATGCAGGAGGTGCTGGGGGGAGGGGGAGGAGCGGGGATATGGCGTGCTCAGGGAGGGGTGGAACTGGGCAGGAAGAGGCAGGGCGGGAGCTTGGAGGAAGAGGTGGAGTGGGGGCGGGGCCTGGGACTGGGCAGGGGTTGAGCACCCCCTGGGAAAGGAGGAAGCCGGCGCCTGTGGGTGGGGGGGTTTGACAGGGTAATGTTTAAACATGGGTGGGTGGGACAAACTGAAGTGCAGACAGAAACTGAGAACACACGGGGAGACCGAAGCACAGAAATTGAAGCAAGACGTACTGGGAGAGAGCGAGAGCCACGACAAGCACGGTGTATGACCCTGGAAGAAACTAGAGAGGGGACTTTTGGGTCTGGTGCTGGATAAAGAAGCTTGAGGCTGTAAACAGAGAAGCTATCCCGTTTTTCGGCTCCTCTTGTGTTAGGAGAAACAGGACTTTATACACTGCTTGATTTTTTTTTTTAATTTTTTTTAAAAGCATCAAAGAAAGCACCAGATTCCAGCTGTGAACAGAAATTGATGTTGGAACATCCTCTGGGCCTGAGCTTTGACTAGTTACTCAGGTCAAAAAGAGGCAACAATCTTATGAGCTAAATGATGGTCCCCAGTAAATGGGACACAAGGAGGCTGTCATATGTTTCAGTGAGTTTGGCTGTACTCAAAACATTTTTCCTTTTTACCTCTGATTTAAACTCCTTTCTGATTCACCATATTGTTCTATAATCTCCTTCATCTTTTTGATCCAGGATAATGTCTTTCTTTGCCCCTGGATAAATGCCTTTTACTAGCAATGCCTGCTGATAAACTGCAGGTGCCAATGAGCTAAGGATGTGATCCAAAACCCAAGGGGAGTCTTTCCATTGGCTTGGATCCAACTCAGCCAGGTTTTCATAGCCCTTAGATGTGCAGTTTTGCTTGCAAAAAGTGTGCACAATTGTGAGCCTCACTTCCCCGTACAAATCAGGTCAGTGCAGACCTGAGAAGTGAGGTGCATTTACACCATTGTTCTTGCTTTTTAAAATCCAACCTCTGCATTAATACTGCTCCTGTAATACTTTGCAAATGCCTAATAAATATTGTCATTGCACTTTAAACAGATGCATAAAACCCCCATATTTATAATGAAGGAAAATGATCTGTTGGTTATTCTTAATTTCAGGGACCCCATTTTCCATCCTTTACCTTGTTTGGGCTGTCAGATTGCTTCTGACGGCCTTTCCATTAGCATCTAACATCTTATTTTTATTGTACATTCCAGGTAATTTTCTCTCTCACTTGACTTGCCCCCTCCTCACAGCTTGAGAACATGTTTAGAGGTTTTAGCACCAATAAGCTATTGTGATAAGCAGATCTCTCAATAAACCCCCCACGTTTTTAATATGGATAATAGACTGAACTCCACAACACACACACATTTGAAACATGCTGGGGAAATAAGCGGGGTGCTTGCCAAAGCTGACAATTGCTGACATTGAATTTTCATATGTATGCCAGCTCTTTAACAAAGGTCATCCCAGTCTCAGGAAAACAAGGCAACAACCTATGGCTGAGGTTTTCAAAGGTTTTCAGATAGAGCGAGGTGTCCAAATGCTACTAAATTTCAATGGGATTTGGGTGCCTTAGGTTATAACATTTGCATTTCATTCTGACTGTTCCAAAGTGCTTTCACAGGTAGATATGCATTGTTATCTCCATCTTAAAGATGGGAAAAACAAGGTGCTGAGATTTGGGAATACAGGACCATGTGTCTAGAAATCCACAAGAAACTCCATACTGACATAACACTTTCCACGTGCCTGTGATAGAGGTAATGATTACTCTTTGCCTTTTAGCTAGAAGGAAACTGAGGCTGGAAGGGATTAAGTAGCTTGCCCAAGGCCCCCCAGAATCCGTGTAAGAGGTGGTATTAGAACTCAGGAGTGCTGTGCTTGGGCCACTAACCTACACCCCTCCCTAGTGATGCCTTCTGTTTTATCAACCACATTTTGGGGGGGAGGAACACCCATGAAATTAATTACAACTGAAAAGTAAGGCTACTACGATTTAATCACGGGTATTTTTAGTAAAAGTCATGGACAGGTCATGGGCAAGAAACAAAAAATCACAGTACTTGACCTGTTCATGACTTATACCATAAATACCCCTGATTGAATCGGGGAGAGGGGGGGCCTGCAGCACCAGCTGCTGAGGAGAGGGGGAGTGAAAGGAAAGCACACACTTTGGTGATCCATAGCTACTGACCGCCATACAAGCTGTTGCAAAGAGGCCCAAGGATCCTGCTATCGTCACAATGTGACCATGGTCCATCTCCATCATTCTTGGAAGGAAAGCCTTGACAGTCTGTATGGACAGAAGGAAGAGAGCTTATTCATGTGCACCATTCGCCTATTACACTTGCATATCTAAGAGCGTGGGTACAAAGCTCCAAGGTCTGTTTTGCTGATGCGCTGCTAGGACACACGTTTATTTCTATTCTTAGCTGCAGATTAAAAGACTCATGGCTCAACTATTACTGCAGAGAAGCAGCTTCTTTTACTCACCCTTATTCCATTATGTGGACTAGATGATTTTTAGGCATTTGCAATTTCCTTATTCCGAATGGTCCATGTTTCTGATTTGGCAGCGGCATGGAGATTTTCCCAATGTGCAGTAAAGATGCTGACGGGTGTATTTTTATGAACATTCCACACAGCCCCTTAGCAGCGTTGCTGATTTCAGATGAGAGATTTTTTCATGGCTTTAAGTCGACGATGCATGTGATTTAACATGAGGCAGCTAGGAGAGATGGGCTTGAGCTGTAAAATTACAACCTGGATTGGAACTTGACCAATGTTTGGGGGTGTTTGGCCCTGTGGTTTTGGTTTAGCTTCTTGTATTACATAGAGACCAAAGCTGCTGTTTTGATCTCCACTCCATCCAAGTTTGGGATAGTTCAGATCCAGGGTTCTGGTTCAAGCCCGTATCTAGCAGTTGACCATTTACATGCTAAACACTTAAGGATCCTGCAGAAACCAGTGTGGTCAGTTTTGGCAACTCAGACATTTTTCTTGTTTTAACAACTTTTATTTGGGCACTTGAGCAAAAGAATGACAGTCTGCCAGTACAGGGCGTTCACATTTAGAGTGTTGAAAACACATCCCTTTAATGTTCAGCTGCCAATGAAGATTTCCCAGATTGTAGAGTAGTGGCTCTCAACCTTTCCAGACTACGGTACCCCTTTCAGGAGTCTGATTTGTCTGGTGTACCCCCAAGTTTCACTTCACTTAAAAACTATTTGCTTTACAAAATCAGACCTAAAAATACAAAAGTGTCACAGCCCACTATTACTGACAAATTGCTGACTTTCTTCTTGTTGCCATATAATTATAAAATAAATCTATTGGAATATAAATATTGTACTTACATTTCAGTGTATAGTATATTAGAGCAGTATAACATCATAGTATGAAATTTTAGTTTGTACAGACTTTGCTAGTGCTTTTTATGGAGCCTGTTGTAAAACAAGGCAAATATCTAGATGAGTTGATGTGCATCCCCTGGAAGACCTCTGCGTTGCAGAACCACTGTTGTAGAGCTCTGAGAGTATTCGCGTACTGTGGACAGCAATGAGAGCATCAGTGTAATTCAGGCCGCCAGCAGCCTTGTAACCATCCCGTTGGCTAGAGCCTTTCTGCGCAGGCTTAGACAATAGCGTGGTTCCAATGCCAGCAGCCACTCCTATCATTGCTCCCACTGGTGGGGAGACACTGGCAAGAGAACAACCACCTCTAATGTAGACAAAGCTAAAATGCTAAATGCAGATGCAGCCCAGAAGCATCTTTACCTTGTAGTGCTGTGCCAAAAGCATCCATGCCAAGAGAGTGAGCACTCTGACAACTCTCCGCTGTCACTTGGGAGACGTGTTCTGTTGGGTAATGCACTGATAAATGACTGGATCCAGCAAAGCTTTCATAAGCTGGCTGGAAGCCAGTGAATCTCTCAGAGAGGAGCTCTGTCTGCATCCACAAGTGAAAAACAATGGGAGCTGAGGTGGCTTCTGACCATTTATTATGCACTTACAAACTTTACTCTGCCTTCATAAGGGCCCTGCTACAATCAACCCAAAGTGAGTTAAGAAACCATATTTAAACACTGCTCCAGCCAAAGAGATTTCTATGAAAATATCTGAATGTTACCCAGGGAGATTAAGTAAATCCAGCCAAAATAGCTGTGTCTCATGTGTTTGATTATCCTAGGCCCTCCCACTTTCCCTATCCTGCCAATTTAGGAAACACTGATGCCCATTTAAAGTTCCTTTTCGGTTGCACATGTGAGATGGTTTTGCTGTGTAACTTGATTAGTTTTCACTGCAATCCTCTTAAAATGTCCTTCCTCTGACTGTCTTTTCATCTTTCAGTGCTGTGAAACCAGGATTAATGGGGATCCAGACCTCATTCCCCAAGTCCTGGCTGATAAGCTACTTTCCAGAATTAGCTGCCTACAAACATAAGTCATACTGAACAATAATTGTTACCAGAATTTAAATAGGCATTTTTATAATATAATGTTTTGCATAACGCCTATATGCACTCAGCACTTTATCTCCATATGATCCCTCTAGATAAGGAGGTAGGTGAAACAGCATAGGTTAGGTTGTCTCTGAGAGAGTGAGCACAGAATACCTCATGTGGGTTTCTCCTCTGGCTAGCTCTCTAGAGACAATTGGTATATTTTCATATCCTAGTTCATACATCTGCAGAATGTCTTCTTGCACTCTTGTCAGATTTTAAATAACATCCTTAAACCATCCACTAGGATTTCAGGACATACTTTTCTTCAGCTTGGTTTTGATGTGGCTGCTGTCACAAGAATCTCAATTATGAAACATAGACTGATTGGTTGGTTGAAAAACCAGTGTGGCAAGTCAAATTGTGCTAAAGCTTCCTGTAACTTGGTAGATCTGAGCAACCAAATGGCTATATTTGGTTACTCAGCAGAACCAATGTTCATTTTACACAGAGAGAAACTGAGGCACGGAGTGGTTACGTAAGTAAGAGCTATAGAGGGAGTCGTCAGCACAATGGGATGTGAAACCCAGGACTGCTCACTTCCTAATCCTTTGTTTGTTCCAGTAGATCACTCTGCTTCTCAAAGCTCATAGATGTGAAGCCAAGACATGAATGGGGAGGGTTCCTCAGCTTTCCCCCTTCCTGTGCTGTGTTGCACTATCCCTTCAATGCCACCTCTTTTGTTGTTGATCTTAGCCTGGCCACCAGAGGAGGTTTCATTCACCAGGGAAATTCTGGGAAGCAGCTCAGCGTTCAACCTTGGAAACCACCCTGTCATGTATATGTTATCACAGGGATGGGATGGGAACACTCTGCTTGGCTGACCTTTCTAAACATGAACAGCTGCGCTTGCACTGCCCAAGCAATGCAGATTGAGAAATACCTTCAGTGTGTTTTCACAGATGCCATGTGGCCCTCTCTGTCAAAGTACTTCTGCAACAGATGGATGACCATTCAGTTCTCATGACTAAGGTGAATCTATGGATATAAAATCACTGATGCAGGCATGTCTGAGTGTGCCATTTATAAGACAGATTGTTCTCATTTGAGACAGATGCCTTTCTCTTTGGAAGAGTCATTACTTAGTGGAGAAATATTTAAAGGGATCTTATCAAGACTTCAAAGCCTGGGAAATTCAATCTGATTTAATCTTTGGCCATAAATTAACACTTTTATGTTGAGTAAAACTAATTCAAAATTTTGGTTTTATAGATTTGGAAAACTGGATTTTTTTTTATTTGCCTGGACTCTGCTTAGGGTGAGTTTGAGAGTTTGTAATGAATGAATCAGGGACTGTAGTTTTTTATTCTGTTTGTCCAGCAGCTAAGGGGCTCCTGGTCCAAGACTGGACTTCCTACATGTTACTATAATAAAAAAAAAATATGGAGATATACCTATCCCATAGAACTGGAAGGGGACCCTGAAAGGATAGAGTCCAGCCCCCTGCCTTCACTAGCAGGACCAAGTATTGATTTTGCCCCAGATGGCCCCCTCAAGGATTGAACTTACAACCCTGGGTTTAGTAGGATAATGCTCAAACCACTGAGCTATCCCTCCCCAATAATATAATATAGTAATACAAATAATAAATAACAACAATCCTTGGCAAGAACCCAAAATAGAAAAATCAATCCACTCCTGAACTGTGTCCCATGGGACCCTGAGGTTCTGCATAGTGTAAACTGGAAAATATTTGATCATAAACCATTACGGAGTCTATTCTCACATGTAGGAAGGGTTATGATAATTTACTGGGTTTGGATTCAATGCTCTGATTTTCTAATGTTTTGGTTCAGAAAATACGAGCATGAGAAGCTTGCCGCATTGTATCTGATCTGTCTCTCTCTCTCTCTCTCAATAACCAGTGCAGGATGCTTCAGAGGAAGGTATAAACCCACCACAGTGGGTACCAAACTAGTAATACTAATCAATGGGGGTTATCTCTGTTCTCTGTTGGTGACCTTATCAAGCCGTGGAGTACAATGACTGATTGCCATTGCTTTTAATTTTAGCTAGGGAATAGCTGCTCCAAATGTAATTTCATCTTGGACTAATAAAATGACAAAATTTATAACCACCAAGTCTAAAAATGAGAGAATAATATACAGACCTGAAGGAATACAGTTGCTAGTGTGATCTAGACTGGATCGGGTACAGGACTCGAATACCTGGATTCTATTCCCAGTTTTTTCATTGCATTTGTATGCCGTTGGACAAGTCACTTAACTTCTCTGAACCTTACATTTTCCCTTCTGAGATAATGATGCTCATCCAACTTTGCAAAGTGCTTTGAGATCTATTGATAACCATGACTCAAATCTTTGGAATTTCTTGTACTGCAAATATTGAACTCCAGCAGTGAGTAGAGGGGTCTTCCCAATGAAAAGGGAATCTCAACCTGTCTCCAAAAAGGTTAAGAAGGAACTAATATTTCAAATGTTAAACTGGCTGTGTGATGCCAGGACCCATTTAGAAGGCAGAGATTGTGGTAAATATCCCCCTTCTGATGCTTATCTCAACAGGATGTGTCCACTTCAAGGTCTAACTGGATGCTATGAGTTATAGAACCCTGCAAATCCATGGATATCCATTTTTGCAGAAAGTGGATCGGATGCGGATACAACCGTACAGGGCTCTAATCACCAGCACTGCCTGGCCTGTGGCATCCGGCTTGGGCAGCCTGGGTAGTGCAGCGCGCTCGGGACTGGTGGTCAGTGGCTGGGGGGCACCCACTTGCTGCATCGCTTCCTGTCCAGCAGCTCGGGTCTCTTGGACAGTGACAGCGTCCCCACTGTGGGGATTGGAGTGGGTGGGGCTCCAGTGCCCCACCCCTCCACCCCATTGTGATGCAATGTCCTCCTGCTGCCATCACTTGCGAGCCCCTAGGAGCAGCACGCGATGCCCACTGCCCCTTCCCCTCAGCCCACCACTCTGAGCCCCTCCTTCTCCTTGAGACACCCCACTCTCCAAAGTCAGACAGTGAATTAACAGCTCCCAAATACAGGGAACCCACCCTGTCCCAAATCCCTGAACAAATGGATGGGTTCTGCTCTAGCATGTCCTGAAGGGGAAGACTTTTGCCTTCAGGGATAAAGGGGTGGGTGAATTCCCAAGTAGAGGGGCCCTGCTGCATCTCCCTCTGCTCTGGACTCTATAGTTCACTTCTGTCGTTGGTCTAAAATAGGCCATATTGGTTGCCTTCAGGACGTGCTGGAGGGTGAGAAGTAAGAGTCAGTCCCAGTCACAAAGAGCAGACCCGAGGAAGAGCTTGTCTCTTTCACTAACAGAAGTTGGTCCAATAAAAAACATCCTCATCCACCTTGTCTCTAATAAAGAGCATAAATAGATAAGTGAAAGAGGCACACTGAGGTAAAGTGACTTCTCTAGGGTTAGACAGCAGGTCAGAGGCAGAGTAAGGAACCGAAACCGGCGCTTGCTTCCAAGCCTGTGCCCGATGTACAAGGGCACCCTGCCTCTCAATCATCTTATACTTGGTTTTCTGCACTAAATGACACTTACCCAGAAATGCGCATGGCAGTTAGTCTTCATGGTCCTTTCCAGAATTTCATCTGAGCACTGCAAGATTGGTTTCCCTGCTACAACCCCAGCATTATTTATCAGGACGGTGACATCTCCCACCTCCCGACGCACTCTCTCTGCAGTGTTATAGACGTCCTCTCGCTGGCTCACGTCACAGGTGTAAGCATAAGCCTTGGCCCCCAGCTCCCTCACCTGTACCACAGTCTTTTCATTACCATCTGTGTCTATATCCCACAGGACAAGCGTCGCACCTCTTTGGGCGAGTTCTAAAGCAAAATGCCGACCCAGTCCTCTTGCACTGGCCGTACCTGTTATTAAACATATTTCATTGGTGACTCTTTTCTCGGTGGGCCTCTTTATCCACCGCATAAGGGACTGGATTATATAGCCCACAACTTTAGCTGCGAGGAGCAGAAAATCTATAAGCACACCCATTGTTTCTTTTCTTTTAAAATAGGAGCAGTCTGTGGAACGCCAATGTAGTGAAGGCCTCAGTCAGCACAGTCCAGAAAGGATATATAGGGAAATGCTGGATTAAGAGATTATACAGGCCTGCCACCGCTACCAATAAGTGAGAGGGATCTGTACTACAATGGAGGCATTAGGAGCCTGATCCTGCAAGGTGCTAACTGCCCTCGATTCTCATTGACTTCACCAGGAATTGAGAGCACTCAGCAGCTTGCAGCAGGATCAGGCCTTAGATTTGCAGCTCAAGGATTTACTGAATGTGTAACAGTTGGGGAGCGTTTCATTTATGAAACGTTGCACAAGCTTGAACTCTTGAGTGCCACAGTTGCTGCCCTGAAACCACGGCACTGATGTGCTAAATGTCAGAGTCCTGCCTGCTTTTGACGCAAAAACTGCCATTAGTGCAAAGCACTGGCCTGGAATGAAACAGGCACGCTGCTTTCCAGGACCCGTTACACTTTCTCTTTGCTGTCTTTGCCCAGACTCCCGCCCGGTGGTCTCAGGCCCACCTGGGCACAGGACCTGCTTGATGGGGCTTTATCAACCCAGACCCGTCCTGGTGCGTGGCTGCCTTAGAGAAGGGCCAAACCAGACCCTTTAACTCCAGGCCCATCTCCTCCTCCTACAAACCGTGGGCAGGCGGTCGTGGGTTGCACAACCGCTCAGCCTTTCTGTGTCTGACTGGCCAGCGGGGAGGGAGCCCGATTAGAGAGCGCCCAGAGCGGGGAGCCCTGGCGTGCTGAAACGAGCATGGCCCGACACAGACAGCCCCTCGGGGACTACATTTCCCAGGTACACGTGCGTGGAGCATGCGCAGTCAGGCACAGTCCGCTATATAAGGGGGTGCTCGCGGATAGGCGCTCCCTTTTTCGTTCCCTTCGCTGAGGGTAGCGGTGAGTGGTTTGTGCGGGGTGGGGGGGCGCGTACAATCCAGTGCCATCCGCGGCCGTCCGCGCTTGTGCCTGTCCCCTGTCCAGCTCCAGCAGTGCCTCGCAGCCCCTACTGCTGCACTCGGCCTGTATTGAAGGGGTGTCCCCGCTGGAGGGGCCGCGGGGATCCGGCTGCACCTCGGCCGCGCCCAGCTGCCGGGGGAGTCCTTCGCTAGCGGCTGCCTCTGCTGCTCCAGGCTGCTCTCTCGCTGGCCGCCACCCCCCGTTCTCCCGCAGACTGTCGCTCCCCCTGGAAGAGGGCCCGGGGGTGTCTGGCCGCAGACCGGGTTGGCCGCTCTCTGCTCCCCAGCCAGGGGTTCGCCCATAGCCCGGGGTCTCGCTGGTGCACGTGATGACTAAAGCTTTTTTCCCCATCAGAGCGACAGTGTTGATTCCGCTGCTCTAAGCCAGATTGTGTCTGATGCACCAGCCCGGGGAGGCGGCCTTTGCTTTGCTCCCGCCGGATGGTCAGCGAGACTAAATCTCTTTCGCCTCTTCGGTCTTCTGCTTCTCAGGTCCACCAAGCAGGCGCGGGCAACATGTGCTGGAGACCTGGCCTGGTAGAGCAAGGCCAGGCGCGGCCCCAGGATAGAACCAGCAGGAAGCGCCGGTGCTCTGGTTATGAACCCACTGTGTCCATTGCCCCCTGTGACCCTCATGGAGGAGGCAGCGGTAAGTCCGTCTATGAATAAATACCCGTCACTACCGTTTTACAAGTTTTTGTTTCTTGGTGCCTGCATGTAACTACTGTGTGAAGCTTTGCTTAGGGCAGCCCAGGTGGGGGTGGCTGTAGCTTGCACTCCAAGTTTGCTAGTTAGGTGGATTAAGCAGTCATTGTACAGACAGAACAAAAATGGGCTTGCCCCAAAGAGTTTACAGTCTAAGTAGCTTAATACTTTGTATGGCCCTCTCCATGGTAAATTGTCACACCCCAAACCACCATTGCCCCAGCCAACAGATGTAAGCCACTCTTATTTTGCATCCTTTTTGCCACTTTCTCTGCCCAATATCCTAGTCTCTCTTTGAAGTGCTGCTCATTTGCCAACTCTTGTCTCTATCTGCTCCTGTAACGCTGCTGTTTCATTTTTCCCCCTTGTTTCTCAGTATGTTTTTTCCCTTCCCCATAAGTGACCGGCTTCTGCTTTAGCACCTACCACTGTAACATTTAAGGTGCTGCAGTCTCTAATTTAGATGGGTGCTAGATGCTTACAGTTTTCTGGCTGAAACATGTAACTGGTATTCTTATGGCTGACTTATTCAAAAAGTGAAGTGCATTTGTGCAGTTGCATGCCAACCTAATGTGCCGATAACCAGGTAGCTACATAGGTCACATGTGTCTGTCTTGCTGAAACTGCATGCAAACTAGGGTGTCATTTGCATGCTGCCCTGGCACTTCCCTCCAACTCACTCTGGAGCCGAGATCTCGCTGGTGTACGTGATGACTAAACTTTTTTCCCCATCAGAGCGACAGTGCTGATTTTTCATTGCTTTAGCCAGATTGTCTGATACACCATCAGGGAATGGCCCCTTCTTCTCCTCTTTCTCCTCTCCCCCAACACACACTCCGTAGTTAATCCCACCCCGTGCCTTTGTACATTTTAGGTCCATGGCAGCAAGGTGGGAGCAACATGAGCCTGGGATACCTGGCTCACTGAGAGAAAGGTGCCATGGTGACCTGAAGCAGACTTGGAAAAAGTGGTCACTGTCCTGGTTAACAAGCCACTTGTGAGCCATTAATAGGGGAGAGTGGTAAGTTTCTGAATAAATATCTTTCAGTATCTGACAGCAATCTCAAATAATTTCTCCCTACAAGGGAGAGACTGGCTTTAAACACAGTCATGTATCCCACTTACTTATTATTATGGTAGTGCATAAGGGCCAATTGAGAATGGGGCCCCATTATGCTAGTCACTGTACAAATAATAGTAGACAGATGCTGCCCTGAAGAGTTTATGCTCTAATAGACAAGACAGACATTTATCTAATCCTTCACCTCTCAGGCTAGAAGTTTGTGCATAGTGTCTCCCAAGTAGGAGTGACTGCAGCCTTTGCTTTTAAACATTCTGTTTGGGTATCATTTAAAAAAAAACCCTTTCACTTTGGATGTATCCTTTCTGCAGAAATATCTTGTCCCTCCATTGCCCCCACATGTCTGTTGCTGACCAAGTCTGCCAGCCTTAGACATAGGTGGCAAATACTGCATGTAAACAGCAGTGCATGTCCAGTGGTGAGGAACATGAAAAGCCAGGGCCCAGCCAATCCACCATTGCTCAGGTTGCTGGATGGCAATGGGCACATAATTGATTGGGGGTCATTAAGCTTTGCAAATGGTCTGTGAATGGGAACCTTTGTGGAAGTCTGGGAGCATTGAGAAATGTCTGTAAATGCATGACCCATGAAATGCAGGCCAGTCAAGGGTGGAAGGAAAGGGTTTGCTGCTGACTTGTGTTGTGTTCTGTGGTCACCTGAAGAGCTCTGTGAATCTCGAAAGCTTGTCTGTCTCACCAACAGAAATTGGTTCAATAAGAGATTACCTTGCCCACCTTGTCTCTCTTGCATCCTGTTAAACAATCACAATGGGATCTGCCTAATAGTTTGTCATGGAATGGGTAAATGCTAGAATGAGCAGGGGACCAGAAGTATATTGTAGGAACAGCTCCATAATATCCGAGAGGTAGCCCTGTTAATCTGCATCCACAAAAACGAGGAGTCCGGTGGCATCTTAGAGACATACTTATTTGGGCATAAGCTCTTGTGGGTAAAAAAAACCCACTTCAGATGCATGCATCTGAAGTGGGGTTTTTACCCATGAAAGCTTATGCCCAAATAGCTCCATAGTGGCTCTGTCCAAGTCTGTAAATAAAAGTGAACAGCAAAGCAATGTGAGTTCCCAGGTTTAGATAGAGTAACCCGTGTGGCCTAATTACCAGCATTGCATAACAGTTTATGGAACCAAACTTATTATGATGGTGGTGCCAGGTACAGAATTTTCAGGGCCATTGTGGCTGTGCAGACAGCCAGGGCATGTGATAGCTAGTGCATCTGTATATAGCGTGAAGGCAAAATTTGCAGCACCTGAGGTGTGCTGTGTGCATAAAGAGATCACATGTGAACACTACAGAGTACATCAAAGTACATCAAGCCTTAATAGAAAGGTTTTGTTCAAATAATGACTTGATAATTCATTGAGTGGATTTATTGATGGCATAAAGTAGTAAGTCTTCTCTCCTGTATTGCTGTTAAAATTGTTTCATAATTTGATACTTGTTCTTAGCAATTCAGTTAGATTACTAGTAGCACTCAATGTGGAATATAAAATAAACCTTTGTCATTCAAATGCACCCACTTACTGCTCTGTAGCTCATAGACTTTCCAAGATGCAGATTGAATATTTTAAATGCCAGCAGCCCTTGAAAGTCATTAATTCTCCTGTACAATATCTCTCTTGCAGGGACTATTATGTTGTCCATAGACATAGACTTGAGGATCTTCTAAAGGTAAACTGGGGTTTTAATTTTTTTGCAAAAAAGTGTTTGACAACCTGAAAGGCGTGTCATTCTGTGGAATGTGATGACTTCAAACTTTTTTCCCCATCAGATCGGCAATGCTGACCAAAACTTGCATTTTAGCCAGGCTGTCTGATTCCACAGATGCAGAGATGCTTTCCCTGTTCATGTTGCTGTGTAAACACCAATTACATATAGCGCTCCATGCCCAAGGCCTGTATGGTCAAAATGATCCTACATAAATGTAGACTGCTTTGAAGGCAGGCAGTAATTGAGGGTGCTCTTTGCACACATCTCATTAACACTTGAAGATAGTTTATATATAGTCACCAACATGTGTAACACACTAACTTGGGTCGGCAACCTTTCAGAAGTAGTGTGCCGAATCTTCATTTAATCTAATTTAAGGTTTTGCGTGCCAATAATACATTTTAACGTTTTTAGAAGGTCTTTCTATAAATCTATCATATATAACTAAACTATTGTATGTAAAATAAATAAGGTTTTTAAAATGTTTAAGAAGCTTGATTTAAAATTTAAATTAAAATGCAGAGTCCCCCGGAGCGGTAGCCAGGACCCGGGCAGTGTGAGTGCCACTGAAAATCAGCTTGCGTGCCGCCTTCGGCACACGTGCCATAGGTTGCCTACCCCTGCATTAACTGATCCATGTTTTTATGGGCCCTGCAGAGACTGCTGTACCAGTCTAAAACAAAATGTAGGTCATTGGCATAGCTGACTGTAAAAATAGCTTGTGTGCTCTTACTGCTGTGTTAAAAGTGACTGAATTTCTTTTTTGGGGAGAGGGGTATGGCTGGGGTTTCCGCTCTTTTCACTTGTTTATGATGTGTTTGTGGGTGGGTCATCAGCAGACTTTTGTTAGTACTTCAGGTCCCATCCAGCCTGAAAGACTGAAGGTGGGTCAGGTTTTAAAAAGGTATTAGATGCCTAAAGATGCAGACAGGCTCCTAGTGGAGTTTTCCAAAGCACCTACCATTTAATTCCCATTTGAAATCAATGGGCATTAGGCATCTTGGTGCTCTTGAAAATTATAAATTCTGCTTAGGCACTTAAATCCCCTTTAGTGATTAGTGCTCATGTCACAGGACTTGTGGGGTGGAAAGCTCAATTAAGAGGGGAAAAGGATGGTATTTATTCAAAATTACTTTGAAACTGGTCTTAACAGCAAATTTAACTTTAGTCAGTAAAAAGAGCTTTTGTTTAAGATTATTATTGTGC